ATAACGGCCAACAAAAAGTTTGAAGTTACTCTGTCATATTGAATCATAAGTTCGTTTATTATCTCTTCCAAATTCTTTTTTAGCCCGTTTCTATCATCCTTAAGTATTAAATTAACTTTATCGATTTCAATACAAAATCTAATGCCCATTGATTTCTTGAAATCGTCAATTGTGCTTTTGATCTAATTGTTGAGAAATTAGACTTTAAATTAATATATTAAGAAATCAAAGTCAATTAAAAAAAATAAAATAACAAGTCCTATCGTTTGCAAGGAAATAATTTTAACTTTTTCTTCTTTGGATGGTGATGAGGATCTAAAAGATGTGCAAAAAAATCAATTTAGTTTAACTAGAAACTAGAGTGACGACGAGTGGCGGGCGATAACCACCACCATTCTTACAATAAACACTTACCCATATGTATCTTTTGTCTCGGACACTTTTTGTCTCTTGGTTTGTTGTGCCTTTCTTTGGGGCATTATTTTTTAAATTTTTTTTATTAAAAAAAAAAAGAATCTTTCTAATTAATCTAATCTAATTATATTAATATAGGTTGTTATTCCCCCGTGACCTACCTCCAATAAAAATCCGATGAATAAATATAATGCATTCTGACATATACATTGATTGACGTATACATGACAACAAAATTTTAAAAATTTAATGGAACGTTTGACCATATAAACGTTGGAAATCTAAAAAAAAAAAAATTAAAAACAAATAAAACGTTTGACATATGCGTGACGAAACAAGAAAAAAATTGAACTAAAAATTAAAAATTAGATAGAACATTTGAACATATACATGTTAAAAATTAAGAATTAAAAATTAGTTGAAATTTAAGCAAGAAAACTAAATCAGTGAATGAAACATTTAAGGATTTATGTTTCCACGAGACATGTATGTTGTAATATATATTATATCCTATCGTTTGATTGTAATTGTAAATAAAGTGCTCGAGGACACTATCATTTGGTTATCCTATGATAAATAAATCTTGCTATCAATATAACCGCAACTCTGCTATTAAATATCTACTTATATACTTATCTACATCTAATTATAATAATCTACTTATAACACCATTATGTCCACTAACGATAACAATAATTCTGAGGCTGCCATCTATGCTGAAAGGTTGAGAGTGCGTGGATGCCTAATGATGCGGGCTGTTCATGAAAGAGAGAGCGAAGAACACCGAAGACAACATCACTTACAACTACTTCGGGGGGAAATGAACGTATTATAAATGCTACAACGAGCAGTAAGAAAGCATTGACACCCCTACATATACCAGTTTTGCGTCATTCCATTGGGAGGATGGAGAAAGTTTGTACTGACTGCAGGGCACTAATGTAGGTGGACGAAAGGAAGAGCACTAACCCAAAATTTACTATTTGTTGCTCTAATAGTAGAGTGCAACCCCCCTCTTGGATCCTCCCGAACCGTTGTACTCTCTTCTTTTTAGATCCAACACACGCTCACGTCGATTTCGAGAAAAGATTTAAGCATACAATTCGGCTTTAGCATTTACGTCTCCGTCTTCCAACAGGCCCATGAAATCTTTATTCCCGATACACAAAATCTACTTATTTCATGTGGCGAAGCAAATGGTTACACGCTAGTATTATTAGTATTATTATTGGCATTTGGTGTTGCACAGATATATATATATTTTTTTTTTTTGTTGACGCGAATTGATTTTTGGAAAAACAATTTATTTTTTGGCAGAGTCCAAGGTGACAAAACGTGAAAGTTGTTGTTTGGTTTATGGTTCTGAAGATGTGTTAATAACTAACCAGAGGTACTATTTTTCATTTGTATTGATATTTTTATTTTAGTTTATAAATATTTTAATTGGAATCAAAACGTGATATAAGATCTTTATCAAGATGATAACGAATGAACGATTGGTATTTTGCCTTGTGTAATCAATCTTATTAATATTGTTATAATTACAAGAAGATGTCAAGACAGCATGACCATAGAAAAAGAAACAATTCAAATATGAAACATTTCGAATATGCAGTGTTTGATTATC